AATTATCCTCAAAAGCTCATGTAGAAGGCATTACAATGCTGGGATGGGAGATAGAAAGAAAATAACAGCCCACAATCAATAAAATCCAAGAGTGGGCAACAGATTTTATCCAGATCTGAGAGGTGGACAGCTGAATGGCGAGGACACTAAACTTAATGAGGGAGAACCAGAAGGTTTGTGAGGTCCGTGATAGACTAATTATCTTGGGACACAGGGGTGTGGCCAGCTGATGGGTATTGGGGAATGAGATCCCTAAGACTCTCCATTCATTGATGAATTTTTTTGCTAATTCCTTATTTAAGGAATGATACCCAGGTGTATAATTTTGAAAACAGAAAAATTCCTATGGTGAAATTTTCTTAAGGCATTTTACATGATAGAATAACTCTTCAGAGACATCTAACATCTCTTAAGGTGGTAATAGCATCAGACCGAATAGTCTAATGCCATTGGGTATGGATTTTTTATCATACATTTTTTCCAATGTCTACACAATTTCCCACATCCTATCTGCAATAAAACCCAGTGGGTGTCGTTCTGGTTTGAGGCTAATGCCCCTGTAGCAAACCAGTCTTCTGTTGGTAAGATATATAGACATAAGTCAATTAGTCATATGATTTTACTGGTAAATCAACATGATGATTAGATAAAACCCATTTTCATAGCCACTGAAGACACATCAGTTTCTTTTTCTCATGCATCATGATGTAATGCATTTCATTAGTTAGTAGATATTGGAGATTAGCATATATCAGTGGTGCTCAACTAGGGTGAGTTTGCAATAGACATTAAAGAGTGATGAGAAAATTTTGGTTGTCATACTTGGGGTACCACTGGCATTCAATGGGCAGAGTCCAGGGATGCTGTTAAACATCCTACCACAGGGCAGCCTCCCACAACATAACCATTGGTATATTTACTGGGACTAGATAAAATTTATGGAGAATAAACAATTCATGGAGAATAACAACTTCAGGGAAACTGACATTAAAGATGTTTTTGGGATGACTTTCTATTCAATTACATGGTATAAATTTTATTTTTTATATTCATTAATAAATTTTTAAAAATCCTAACCTGCGGATATTTTTCCATTTAGTTTTTTTAAAAAATATTTTATTGATTTTTTTACAGAGAAGAAGCGAGAGAAATAGAGAGTTAGAAACATTGATGAGAGAGAAACATCAATCAGCTGCCTCCTGCACACCTCCTACTGGGAATGTGCCCGCAACCAAGGTACATGCCCTTGACCGGAATCGAACCTGGGACCTTTCAGTCTGCAGGCTGACGCTCTATCCACTGAGCCAAACTGGTTAGGGCTCCACTGAGTTTTAAAGAGTGGAAGAGAGAGGGAAAGACAGAGAGAAACATTGATGTGAGAGAAACACATCAATTGGTTGCCTCCCGCGCAAGGTCCAACCAGGGCCTGAGCTGGGGAGAAGCCTGCAACCAAGGTACGTGCTCTTGAACAGAATCAAACCCAGGACCCTTCAGTTCCCAGACCGACACTCCATCCACTAAGCCAAACCAGACGGGGCAAGGTATAAATTTTATTAATTCAAGGTTATTGTGTCCCTTAGGAATGTTTTACAGTTTTCTTGTTAACATTTTATGGTAAGTTCTTTCCAAAGTGTTTTAGTTTTTTAATTTCCATTATAAGTTGGGCTCTTCCGTCCCTTGTATTTTCTAATTGTGATTTTTATACATCAAAGGAATTGACTTCTATAAATTAATATGGGACTCCACTGATTCTCCAATTTTCTTTATCTTTTTTTGTCTAACTTTAGTGGCTACTACTGGAATTTAATTCAATTTTATTTACTACTAGTGGCTCGGTGTATGAAATTCATGCACATTAAAAGGGAATTAATTAGCAGAAATATTTTAATATTGCTATTTGCCCTTTCTCTATAATAGAAGTGTGAGAGATGAAAGGAAATTAGTAAAATGTATATGAAAATAATATATAAATTTATTAATAAATAAACAGTAACAAAAGGATATAACAGAGGCATGATATAAAACATATGAAAACAACAAAAACATGATATAAAAACAACAGTGATGCAGACAATGACTGATAAAGTGATTAAACTTATCCTAATATCTCTCTGTATACCACATTAAGAGTGAAAACACTTTCAGAGTGCTTAACTAATTTCCCTTGTGATAAAGTATTTAGAACTTTAACTTCAATGTCACACGCTCTTCGAACTCGAGAGAAAGCAACATATAACTGACCATGTCTGAAAACGGGTTCAGGTAGGAACATTACTTCTCAGTCTAGAGTTTGTCCTTGTGATTTATTAATAGTCATCACAAATGCTGGCATCATGGGAAACTGTCTTCAAATTAATTTAAATGGGAGGCCACGGTCAGATGGGGACAAATTAATTCTTGGAATCAGAACCTCTCCATCTGCAGATCCTGTTAATACTTGGATTATGTTAGGTCGCAC